TAAGGCAAAGGTTCAGTAAGTCCATGATGTCTTCTGTCGGTAACGGCAGTTCAACAGTAGATTGTTGTATAGCGGTCTCGGTACACTGTGATGCCAACTGAAGTGGAATACAGATGAACAGTGATTTCACATCAAAAGACACAAGTTTGTAGTCGTCAGGTATCTGTACTGTCTTGATAGCGTCAATAAAGTTCTCCGTAGATTGAAGTTTACGTCTTGATTTGTCAGTAACAACTACATCAACTACATCAGTTCGGTAAGTACTGTCAGACGAATACGCCAACAACTTTGGTTCAACCACCGCTGCAAAGACAAGGGTCTAGTTCCGGCCGGACTTAAACTTAAGTCTCCGTTGAACACACAAGAGGCCATCCAGATCGTCAAATCCACCTGCAGAAGTCTGGTCAAAGCGCGGATAAAAGACTGATAATGTGAATTGGCCACCGTAACGAGATTCGATAGCTGACGTTTCGAGCGTTAGCCCTTCGTCGGAGCGAATCGAGGATTTGTGGGTTGTGTGTGGTTTAATAATTATATACAGAAAATGGAGCTTCGCTATTGGTTGGTGCATGGTAACGTGGAAAAACAACAGAATAAATTAGTTCAATGAAAAGCGTTCGTTGATACCGTGAGGATTAAGAGTACCGATTTGAAAAATAAATTTTTGTTCTAGAGTTTTGCGGTATTCCGTGCTTCCTTGATGTAGGGAAAGGTCGCAGACTGACATATGTAGCTTAGAATGATTGGGAAGATTAAAATGTCTCGTGACCGGTTTGGATGCATTTTTGTCGTCTTTCTCTACGTAACGAAGGTGTTCTCGGAATCGGTCGCCTAGTCGTCTCCTTGTTTCGTCGATGTATAACTTTTTGCAAAGAGTGCAGGTTATGCAGTAGATGACATTGGCTGAAGTACAGGTGAAATGATCAGTGATCTTGATGGATCGCTTGGGTCCCGATATTTTCTTAACGTTGCGAATGTAAGGCCATGTTTTAAATCGCGCGCGTGCGCATTTAAAAGCTTGATCACTTGTTTGGAATGCACTTCTGACTTCTGACTTGTCGCGTTTGAATGAAATTAATGGAGGTTGCGAAAAGATTCTACCAGTATCGGGATCATTTTGAAGTAATTTAAAGTTTTTTAGAATGATGGATTTTACTACGTGGTTGTGAGGCTGAAATGTGAGGGTGAATGGAATTCTCTCATTATTTTCCTTCTGTGACGTTTGTAGTGCTGACTGTCGATCAATTTGTTGGGCGTGATGATGGCCCGCTTGAACAACAGAAGCAGGATAGCCACGTTTGTCGAAGAAATCCCACATTTCCTCTGATTTTAAGGTAAAATCAGAGTCATCACTACAAAGACGACGAAGTCTAAGAAACTGAGAATAAGGAATGGAATTCTTGACACGTGATGGATGTGAAGATGAATACAACAAATAACTATGATAATCTGTGGGTTTGTAGTGCACAGAAGAAAATAGCTCAATGCATCACTGAAGGGGAATCCATCCAGGGATTAAATTATTCCAGAAATTGAATTATCGTTCAAGGGGTTTTATTGAGGTCTGGTCAGAATGGCTACTCTGTAATAATCTGGAATATACTCTTCTTCCAGGACAAGGTCAACCAAACACAGCTTTGTTACTCCTCTGCAACATGATCAGTACACACATCCATTACAAAGTCCGCATGTACAGGTGTATTGTACATGAAGAACACAAACCTCTTAGTCCTGTTGCCAAATCTCCTTTTCTGTCACTGTCTGCTTCTGTGCAATCTGAAGAAGATGGTGAAGCTGTATCTCCATCTGCATCTGATGAGAAGGAGAGATCTTATTACATGGCTGTATGTTTCATTAAAGTGGACAGAAATTGACATGACTTAAAGCTGAGGTTTTAGTAAGGTTTTTTATCGGGAGGGCATCAGGGTATTACATCTAGTACACGAACATTACTTCAATATGGTCTGTTAAATAATGGTCTTTAGAAACAGAATTCAACTGAAACATTCTTAAATACAACCTAACTAGAAAAGAAATGGCTTAAAATGAAGAGAATAGTATTACCATTATTACATAAAGTTAAAAAAGGCTTCTATTTGCGAAAAAGTCTTTTAACATGCATGCTATGTCCTAACATGCAACAGAACGGCATCATGGCATCTCTCACAAGTTTGCTGCATGTTTAGAAGTAAAAAAAAATATATGCAGCAGGTAACAGGTTATAGAGTGGCCTTGTAAGGATTTTCACTATTTTATTCCTTAGGCATCTATCACTAGCATCAATCACTTCGTCAGCTATGCATTGAATAACCAAACTTTATGCATCATGCTGTCTAATTAAGTTGACTAATTAAGGCACTTATAACAGAGAAAAGAAGCGAGGAGAGGATTAGAATTAGAGAATTAACACTAGGGCATGGAGCTGGGTACACCTATGAATACCCGGCCTTGTAACTCAGTTGGCAGAGCAACCAGGATTTAAATTCGGAAGCCTGACAACATCAAGGAATTTTCCTATCGCTGCCTCGAGTGGTCCTCATTTCATTTCCAGAAGGAAATACATGGGCTTATTAATTAGATGACTAATTTTCACAAGTAGATGTCAAATGTACCTTCAAGGGCTGGTTCTGATGTCTGCTGACTTGATTTACGCTTTGCCTTCTTTAAATTGCCTTGATTACCATAACTTGAACATGGCACTTTACGTTTCTTTCTTATGGAAGAGCCTTTTTTGATCTTCTGTGAAGCTGTAAAAGAAGGAATCAAAAACAGGTTTCTGAATAACAATGACCACTGACAATGACTGTATTAAAGTGCAGTGAATGCTGCTATTGAAAGCAAAGAGTACATAAATTATGAAAATTCCTGTTGCCAGACTGAATAATGATAAAAACCGAAATAACCTAAAGACTTTAGTGGAAGAGTTTACTTGGGGTGGAAATTTAACATACACATTCCATTACATACATGTTACATGCCATTATTAAGAAATGTGCAGCATAATCCTAAATTCTTCCCCACTGCTACCTCAAGAAGAGAAGGAAGATTGGTCAAGGAACTATAAAGTACCACTTAAAGTTAAGGAGTATCAGATCCTACTTCACAGCAGTGTAATCTCTGCATTTAAAAATATTGCATCTGATGGAAACCTCTTGCAGAGTCTGACCTCCCTCCCCTCCTGGGGTCACTGCTGTGCATATCATTGTTGCAGTCAGGCTCACTTCTTATTGCTAAACAGAACTGCTTGTTAGCTTCATCTGTGAATAGATACTGGGTAGCTTACAATTCAGACCTTCATTTCCCCAGTTCCAATCCCATACAGCCACAAAATCAATGTGTAAATTTGCACTATTAAGAAATTCAGTTAAAAGGAGTTTGACACAAACATGTTGGATACTTTCTCTCTTTTTTTTCCTTAACACAAACTTGAAGAATTCAGCAGGTGCTGAAGAATCTTATAAAGTTTACAGCAGAACTAGTGGATATACTTTTTTAATTGTGCCCTCAGTTGACAATCAGCTTAGCACACAAATTTACATATTACAGCAAGTACATGAAACAGTCCTACAAAAATATTGCATTTTGAAACTAAAATTGTTTGGTCAAAAAGCCTCAGGTTTACAAAATTTCAGGGCTGAATTAAGGTGGCTGTAATGCCTCCACTCTTCTGCTCTGACGATGTTGCCAAACAGGGTTAGAGTGTTATTACATCAATATAAAATGGTATTCCAGAAAACTAACAAAAATGTAACAGAAAAGTCTTTGAACAGGTTTAATTTTGTTCACAGGGTCTACCCTTAAAAGGTTTTTCCAAAGTTTAAAATACCAGAATTCAAACATCTTATTGCTGAATGATACGTCTTAGTTGAGCCAAAGCTCTAGGCAAAAGTTATGACCCAAAATAATTTCTTACAAATTAGTAAACCCAAAATTATAGTAGGGCCACCTTGATAGAGAGGGAGAGCTAAGTGTACAGTACAAGTAATTATACAATGCAATGTGCCCAGTTCACTATTTTCACAACTTGTTTGCCATAGAAACTTTAATAGCTCTTACAATAAATATACATGTTAAAAAAGCAGTGCTGGCAAATTCCCTGGAGAAGATGGCTGAACAGTCGAGTTTTACTTAACTTTTTTTGACCTAATTGGGGATGACTTTAAGTTGACTGTCTTAATTCTGCATACGAAAATAAACAATTATCAATCTCACAGCGTAAGAGGTGTAATAAGTTTGATACCAAAAGAAGAATCTTCTTTACTAA